AAAACCCCCCTGCAACTAATGACCCCCCAAAAAGCAATGTGTTTTTAATGTCACTTTCAGGGTTTTACAGTTGTTTTCCCTCAGCAAAGTTTAGTTGGGTTGAAAAATAATCAACCCCCTTTAAATTTAAATTTTAATTAAATTAAAATTAATTAATTAATTTAAAACCTTCTTTAAAAAAAAGGGATTTTATAAAAAAAAAAAAATTTTTTTTAAAGCCCCCGGCCCAAACCCCGGGACAAAACCATATAAAACGTCCCAGCAAAAGGGGGTTAACTCTAAGTGCTCATGTACACTGCAGCTGATAAACCTCACGGTTTAGGAGCTGTTCAGCGTTTTTTTTTCAGCAGCCCCTGAACTCTCCCTAATGTTTTCCTATGTGCCCGTGTAACACATCTTCTCGTTTACAATCGTTTTACAGGCATTTGAGTTACAATCGTTTTTTTTGAACGCAGAAAACTTGCGTCCAGGAAGACAGATTTTATCAGCCTTTCAAATGCCAAATGCTTCTAAACGCGTCAAAATCGTGTTTTTATAAGCGTTTGTGTCTGAAAATTTTTTTTTTACTCTTCCAGTTCCCAATGCTATCCAGAGCCTTTTTTCATCATGAAAAATGCATGCAAAGCGTTTTTCAAGATACTCAAATGGACAAAACACTGAACACAGGATGTTCCTACCAAGCTTGTCACACATTGTAATGACCAATTCACACCTCAGACCTCTCCCACCCTTGGAAACTAATGTTTTCCTATGTGTCCATGTACACTATGTTGATTACAGGCAGTTGAGCTTACAGTTGGTTTTTTGAATGCAGAAAACTTGCGTTCAGGAGTAGATTTTATCAGCATTTCAAACGCAAAACGCTTGTAAACGCGGCTAACCGCATTTATAAGTGTTTGCGTTTGAATTTTTTTTTTAACTCTTCCAGTTCCAGATGCTGTCCAGAGCTTTTTTTTTCATCATGAAAAATGCATGCAAAGCAAATGGACCCGATACACCATACTTTGAGGTTTCACATGAAAGAAAATATGTTAGACACTGCTGCAATAATTTTCTGCGCAGAAATGAGCCGGAACATCCAAACACCACAAAAAAAAGACCGCTAATCTGAACAAATACTGCTCTCTCTGCTTCTGCTCTCTCTAAGGCTACGTTCACACTAGCCTTGTGTGCAGGCGGCAGAGAGGCGTTTGGGAAGCGTTTTTACCGCTTCCCAAACGCCTCTGCCAATTCTGCACATTACAGCACATGGTGCTGTTCTAACGGGAGCGTTTGCGTCACGTCGCGTTGCGTCGCGGCAAAACGTACGCCTCTGGTCGAGTCAGGAGGCTTTGAAGCCTCCTATTCTCGTCTATGGTGCCCGCTCCGCAAACGCCCGGCCGGCATTTGCGGTGCGGTTGCGACGCGGTTGCGGGGTGTTTGCGGAGCGGTAACACCACTCAAATGCATTATAGGCGTTTGTGGGGCGTTATTACCGCTCGGCAAACGCCTAGCAACCTCCGCTAAACCGTGCATGCGGCGTTTGCGGAGCGTTTGCCGAGCGTTAAAAACGCTCCGCAAACACCGGACCAACGCTTGCCAAATGCTATAGGGGCGTTTGGCAAGCGTTGGCAAAACAGCCTAGTGTGAACGAGCCCTAATTCTCTCAAAATGTCTGAAATAGTTAATTTTTTTACTGTTTTTTCAGTGCATTCTGGGCATTTTGGAAGGTCTTTTCTCCTCTTCTTCTGTGTCCCCCTTCCCTCTATTTTTTTTCTCCTATTCCTCCCCTCCCCCCCCCCCTTCTTTTCTTTCCTCTCTCTCCTTTTTTTGGGATTTGCCATTGCTTTTAGCTGTTGCCAGTGTTTTATACTATGCTCTTGTGTGACGTCCTACTTGAATTTGTTATTCCTTTTTGGCTATATGCACTATATGGATGAACGATGTTTATTTATTGTTTCTCTTTGTTTCATTCTGCTGTAGAGTATGTTTTGTATTGCATCAAATTGTTTTTGTATTAATGTTGTATTGTCTGTTTGGTCAATAAAGCACCCCGTTGATGTTAAAAAAGTTACAAAAACTGCAAAATCAGGGAATGAGTGACAGAATATTCATGTTTTATTTCATGTACTAACAGAGAACTTATTCATTCTCTAATCACAGAGATTACTCCTTGAAATTTCCACCGCAACCTGATTAAACGCTGTAATTACAATCAGTATCACTGACTCAACCCTGATGATATCTGTCCATGCTCCCTTATCACTGACTCCTCCTCCGGGTTTTGCAGACGCAATGGTAAAAACGTTCATATTTCTTTGGGAATCACAAAATAATTGTTCCAATCCCCAGAATAACTCAGAGATAAACATACATCATGAAGGATCAGAGTCAGTGTTAGCAGACAACAGACACGTTGCGATGGATTACATCACCGCACAAGTGTGAGCATGTCGACAGTTCGTGGAGATAGCCTAATCTTTTAGCCACTCAGCTGCTAAAAGGGCCCTTCATAAGATGGCTTATAGGAAAACTGCTATGAGCCCGGGTTCTGCGATGTGATTCGCACAGGAACCGCACCACATTCCTGTGCAAATCACATGCGATTTCTGTGCGGTGCAATTTGAGTCATACATTTTGTATGGCTCAGATCGCACAGCATCTGCACCAAAAAGGTGCAGGACCATTTTTTGGGTCCACACTAGAATTGGACCGCATGGATGTTCACACCTATATGATCCGATTCTGCACATTGCACCTCGTTTTGAGAAACCGATTTTGGGATGTTGTCAACTTAACATACACACCCGCAGCGGTTTGCATGAATGGGGTGTGATTGTGATGCGGTGCGGAATTCGCAGAGAAACCAGTGTGAATTCCGCACCGCATCAGTGTGAACTCAGGGTGAAGGAAATATGTATTTCCATTTTGAATAACCCCACTCAGGTTTTCTTCTCATCTGTGTCTTATTAGATTGATTTCCCTTCACTTCCTATCCCACAGCTAAAAAAAAAAAAAAAAAAAAGAGAGAATCCCTGGTTGTCACAAGAACTAGTGTCTCCATTGGAAGATTTTCTCCTCTGTTCCTGTTCTAGTGACAACCCAAAAGCTGGGATTTCACTGTTGGTGATAAAGGTCACCAGCAGGGGCGGACTGACCATTTAGGCAATCGGGCACTGCCCGAGGGCCCGGGGTCAGTAGGGGGCCCCATGAGATGCCCTGGTAACTTTCATAGGCTTTATTGGGTGTGGTTTGAGTGTGGGAGAGGACACAGGGGCCCCATTATTTCCTATTGCCCGGGGGCCCCATGAGTTGTCAGTCCGCCCCTGGTCACCAGGATTAATAGAGAGGGTGAACCTTCCTAACAGGTACACCAACATCAATAAAAACCTGACATGTTCTAATCCTTCTTTGTTCTACCCAAAAGAAAAAGAAAAAAAAGTTTAACCACTTCCAGTCCGGACACTTTTACCCCCTTCTAGTCCAGGCCAATTTTCAGCTTTCAGAGCTGTCACACTTTGAATGACAATTGCGCGGTCATGCAACGCTGTATCCATATGACATTTTTTGCATTTTTTTTGAGACAGATAAAAATTTATTTTGGTGGTATTTATTCACCACTGGGATTTTTATTTTTTTGCTATATAAATGAAAAAGTCCAAACATTTTGAAAAAAAAAAAAAAAGTGTATTTCTTATAAAAACTTTGCAAATAAATAATCTTTTTCTTCATAAATCTTGGCCAAAATGTATTCAGCTATCTTTTTAATAAAAAAAATAACCCAAATTAGTTTATAAGCAAAAATTATAATTTTTCAAAATTATTTTACATTTTTATTTTATATATATATATATTTTTTTAACATACTGTCACCCGAGCAGTACAGTGTCACCATAGTGACACTGTACTACTTGTGGGGGGGGTGATAAAGTTTTTTTTTTTTTTTTTTACACTGATTGTTTTTACACCCATAAAGGCTGTAAAAGCAAGCACTTCTCTTCTCTCTGGCTGCATTCTTGCAGCCATTGATAAATACTGTGAGAGCTGTGATTGGTCACGGCTTGTCACATGGTGCAAGGCTGTTGTGAATGGCCTTGTACCATGTGATCATTCACAGATTTCACACGTAGTAAGTGATGATGTCAGGAAGTTACACATTGTGTACTACTATTCATGTGATCACTGAATAAACATGAATCTGGACCTCACCCAGAGGTCCCGTACAATGATTGGTGTTCCTCTGGACACAGCGGGCACCGGACTGCTGCGGTGCTGCGCACTCCCAGGGAGCGCGTTCAGTCAGTGAATGTGGGCGCCGTTTATTAACGGCAACCCGCTTTGGCACTGCTCCCGTCCGGTCCGCTTATGTACATGGACCGGATGGGAAGTGGATAAAGTATAAATAAAGGTAAAAACTTTTTTTTTGTTTAGCTTTGGATAGAATAGAGAAGGATTTTACTGCTGTCTATTTCCCCGTTAGGGAGATCTACCCTCTCTATTTGTCCTATTTACCATTAGCATTAGAGTGTAAAGTAAAAGAAAATCTAAAATTTTGGGTTATCCCTAGAGCAGTAATAGAGGGGAAGTCTTCCAATGCGGGCACTAGTTCTTGTGACCTGGGGTCCCCTAGGAATTGCAGGGATTTCCTCCCACTTCCTGTTTTGGCTATGGGACAGAAAGTGAAGGGAAATTTCCACAATGGGACACAGATGGAAAAAAAAAATCCAAAATGAAAAAAAAAAGTTTTGCCTATTTAACCATTTGCCTACCGGGCACTTATACCCCCTTCTTTACCAGACCAATTTTCAGCTTTCAGCGCTGTCGCACTTTGAATGACAATTGCGCGGTCATTCAAAATTGTACCCATATGAAATTTTTATCATTTTTTTCTCACAAATAGAGCTTTCTTTTGGTGGTATTTAATTGCCACTGGGCACTTTACTTTTTGCGCTATAAACAAAAAATGTGCAAAAAATTTGAAAAAAAAAAAACATTTTCTTTGTTTCTATTATAAAAATTTTTCAAACAAGTAATTTTTCTCCTTCACTGATGTGCGTTGATGAGGCAGCACTGATGGGCACTGATAGGCAGCACTAATGAGGTGGCACGGATAGGCGGCGCTGATAGGCGGCACTGATGATGGGTACTGATAGACAGCACTGATAGGTGGCACTGACTGGCATCACTGCTGGGCACTGACTGGCAGCACTGCTAGACATTGACTGGCGCAACTGATGGGCACTGACTGGCACAACAGCTGGGCACCGACTGGTGGACCTGACTGGCAGCACTGCATTGATGGGCACTGCTGGGTGGCACAGGTGGGTGGCACTGGTGGGCACAGGTAGGTGGCACTGCTGGGCACAGGTGGGTGCACTGCTGGGTGGCACCGCTGGGCACTGGTGGGCGGCACTGCTGGGCAAAGGTGGGTGGAACTGGTAGGTGGCACTGCTGGGCACCGATAATCAGGGCACTGATCATCGGTGCCCTGATGATCGGTGCTGATCCCTGCTCTGACAACTGCCGGTTCTCGGCAGTACTTTCCTCGCGCTCTGACAGCGTGAGGAAAGTGCAGCCGAGAACCGGCAATTGCATTTCCCTGTGATCAGCGTGTCATTGGACACGGCTGATCACGTGGTAGAAGGCCGCTGTGATTGGCCTTTTACCACATCACGTGATCAGCTGTGTCCATAGGACACAATGATCATGGAGATCGCCGGGGGCGCGCAGGAGAGCGCGTTCTGGGAGGATGTCATATGACGCCCTCACAGAACTGGCCGGCCGCAGTGTAGCCGTCATTCGGCTATCTGCGGTTGGCAAGAAGTTAATTATCCACTTACCAACTAAGCAGAGAAAAGAAACAGATCGATCTGTAGTAAGAAGCAGTACACAATAGACACATGTTAGGCACACAGTTTAACGCCTTGCTAGATGTTAACCCCTTCCCAGCTAGTGGCAATAGTACATTGACAGCATATATTATTTGCACTGATCACTGTACTAGTGTCACTGGAGACGTCAGTGGCAGTTAGTTAGTTCCCATAAAGTGTCAGTTAGCATTAGATTTCCCACTGCACTATCACAGTCACATTATAAGTCGCCGATTGCCGCCATTACTAAATATATATACAAAAAAAAAAATTCCAGTGTGTATACCATTGTTTGTAGACACTATAATTTTCAAGCAAACCAATTAATATACACTTATTGGGATTTTTTGTTACCAAAAACATGTAGAAGAATACAGTATGGCCTAAATTTATGAAGAAATTTGATTTATTTTTTAAATTTTTTTTTAATTGAATGTTTTTAATTGAATATGTTTTTTTTTCAACATTTATGGTCTTTTTTTGTTTTTATATAATAAACCCAATAGTGATCAAATACCAGCAAAAGAAAGCTTTATTTGTGGGAAAAAAAATTATAAAAATTTCATTTGGGTACAGTGTTGCCTAACCGTGCTATTGGCTATTATAGTAGCGTATTTCTGAATGCAAAATGGCCTGGTCATGAAGGGGTAAAATCTTCTGGAGCTCAAGTGGTTATAGTTTAAAGCAGTGGTCTCCAAACTGCGGCCCGGGGGCTGGATGTGGCCCTTCACTTGCTTCTATCTAGGCCTTTGGGCACTATTCCTACCACTGAAATCAGCAACAGGGCATAATCCCTGTCACTGATACCAACAATAAGGCACTATTCCTACCAATGACCCAAACAATGGGACACTATTCCTGCCAATGACACCAATGGCAGGGCTCTATTCTTTCCATTGACACCAACAATGGGGCACTATTCCTTCCTCTGGTCCCAACAATAGGGCAATATTCCTTTTCAATCAATGAATTTCAGTTCTTTCAGTCATAGAGGCTCGGCACCACATGTGGGCAATACCTAGGGTGGCCTGCGTTCAAATACAATCTGCCTAGGAATGCCCATTTCTCCAGACACTCACCCATCAAGCAACTCCTCCTAGCCCACTGCTTGCATTAGGGCTGAACGCTCTTGAAAAAAGTACTGAGGCTGGCTTCTACCACTTGCCATGATCTGACTGCATTCCATAGAGAAGCCCAAAGACCCAGTGAAGATTCACTGGGTCCAATATAAAAAGTATGAAGAGAAAATAAAAAGGCGTCGATTCGGGCTTACGGGAGTGACAGCAAAATGTGTTAGGGCTTACGGGAGTGGCGTGTGGCCAGGGGCGGACTGACCATTTTGGAAACTCGGGCACTGCCCGAGGGCCCGGGGTTAGTAGGCGGCCCCATGAGATGCCCCTGGTACCTTTTTCATAGGCTTTTTTGAGTTTGGGCAAGGACACAGGGGCCCCATGATCCCCTATTGCCCGGGGGGCCCCATGAGTTGTCAGTCCGCCCCTGCATGTGGCCCATCCCCTGATGTAATCTGTGACGAAATGCGTTGGGTGGGGCGTACCGGAGTGACATTACCCTGGAGTGATTGGAGGAGCAGAGAAAAGTTTTTAATATGAATTTACATTATAGAATGGTCCTTTGCTTTTCATTTTTGAGAGACATTGAGGAGGCGGAGTCTGGAGTACTGGCGATCTATTGGCAGAGGGTGGCCGGAATACCTCTAAAAGGTAATACCTTAGGTTCACATATGTGCGGGTGGTGCCGCTGCGGATCCGTGCAGCTGCACCACCCGCACAGAGAATTGCGGACCCGCTGGCGGGTGCCATTAGTTCTAATGGCACACCGCCCGCACTAGAAAACGCACCCATACTGGGAACAGAGGTTCCCATGCGGGCTTTGTTTTCCAAAGAAGTGCAGGGACTTCTTTCCCTGTGTGTCCCGGGGCACGGGAGTCCATTCAAATGAATGGGCTCTCGTGCCCGTGCAAAACGCGTCCCGCACGGCCCCATAGATATGAACCGGGGGTTGGACCACTTGCTTTAATAGTGTATAATATCTGGTAAGCTGCTGATCTCCTCTTTGCTGCGCTTTTCACTGGTGGATAAGGAGGCAGTGTATGCACTGGGTGATTTCAAGAACATTTTCCAGCACTGCGCTTTCTCTTGAGAAGTTATCTTTTGGCCATTATTATATTTTTGATTCATATTTAGAAGTTTATGCTTTTTGCACTAGCACCTTGAGGTATGACAAGTTATATTGTCCGTTTGGGACTGTACCTTTTACAATGAATGTTACTTTTTGCATGCTCATCTTTATTGACATGAATGTACAATATATGTGACTATTTTCACTGTATATTTTGGAGCTTAGCTTATATATTATTGCATATTTTGGACTTCGTATCACAAGTTTTTCTTGGTGTCAGCTGCTGCACTTCAGGTGGGCTTTTTTTTACCTAAGTGCAGAGGTTTTCTGTTTTCTATGAATAGAAAACAGAAAGGTTTAATTGCAAAAAATCATTAGCACGCTGATAACGGGTGGAGAAGGAAACCATGAAAGGCAAAATAGAAGTAGATTAAACTTCAGCTGTAGCCTCCCTGGCGGTATTCCCGAGTGTAGCTCGGGGTAAAGTTTCCAAAAGCGGTAACCCTGAGCTACACTCGGGCTTACCATGCGGCGCTGCTCCGCGATCCCTCGGTCACTTACCTTGTCCTGCGCTCCCGCGATGTCCCTCCTGCAGTGTCCCCTGTAATGTCCTCCAGCCGATGCCAGCATCTGTCATCTGGGTTCCATTCCCTGCGAGCGTCGGGACGTACGGGACGTACGGGGGAAGGAACCGGCGGGAAATTTGAAAATGACAAAAAGTGACATTCACAAAAATCACTAAAATCACACAGTATAACATTACTGTATCAAACTATTTCACATACATTTTGTCCCGAGTGCTTTGTCTGGCGCCCTGCCTTCATTTTTACTGTTCTTTCTGCCTGGAAACTGAGAAATGTCCATGGCGTCCAAAAAGCGTCCCTTTAGGTCAAAAGCGGTTTTAGACCGGCTAGAGAACAGCGATAGTAAATCAGAACCACTTGCAGAATTGAGTGATGATTCGTCGGGGAAATTCCTCATCAGACACTGAAAACGATTCTGCGACTTTGCTCAGTGATGTGAGAACTTGGCGCTATATTTCAAATTTCAGTGTTTTTGGTTTGATTATATTATTGAATTAAATGTTTTATTATTATATTAATATTTTTATGATTATTTATTAAATTATAATTTATTATTTCGTGTTTCAAGTTTTATCATACCTGGGATGTTTACTAGACTCTTGTTCGGACAGATTTCAGTGCGTTATTCCTAAGAATTACAGGCCTACAATATAAAACGCCAAATTTCCATGCAAAATAATGGTACGCTAAATCGGCTTTCAGCACCAAAAATCTGAAATAATCATACCGCCAGGGAGGTTAAGTAAAATAAATATGGGAACAAAACTTCACAGGGATTAATTAAGATAATATGGACAAAATGTTACCATTGCTGGAATTTGTCAGGACAGAGATGACAGAGTTCCTAAATGGTCTAATAATATCACCCAACATATTCACATGCATCCTTCTGGTCCATGGATTAAAGGCTCGCTAATGAAAGATTTGCATTGTTTAGTGAACAGCTATTGAAGAGCAGTCAGGCAGAATAATTACGCCAATCTGCATTTGTGTTTAATTGGAGATTCTGAATATATTACTTTGTAACAAATATCAGCACAGTCACTGGGATGGAATATTTCCCATCTGGGGACTTATCAGAATTTAAAGTCGAACTACGGGCAAGATCAAACATGACACATATGATTCAGCTTCTTGGTAACAGTAACATAACAGGTTTTGATTTACAGAGTCTCTCCTGTAACATAGCTCTATCACCTGGTCCTCCTGCCAGCAGGCTTTCCTTATGTAGGAGGCAGCAAGGCACATGCAGCAGGTGTGTTTGGGAATAGCCCTCCTGCATCACAAGCAGAGGTTCCCAGATCACAGACTTCTGGCCAAAGAAAGAGGGGTGGATTGAATTCATTCCTGCAATGCATGATTGTAAAACTGAAGCCCTGTGCTCCCTTGCTAGTTTCAGATTTAGTCAAGTGTACTTTGATAGGAACACTAAACTGCAGGCAATAGGAGATTATGGTCCAGTGGTTACCATGTTCAAACACCCTGGATTTAAGTGCTCTTGGTGCTCAAGATTCTATGTGAAGTTTCTCAGGAGTAAGAAACTGGAGAGGCCCAAGACTCATCTGTAGAGAATGGAGAGGCCCAAATCTCATTTGTAGAAAATGGAGAGGCCCGAGACTCATCTGTGAGAGGCTGGAGAGACCCAAATCTTATCTGTGGAGAATTAAGAGGCTCAGATATCATCTGTGAGCGACTGGAGAGGCCCAAATTTCATCTGTAGAAAATAGAGAGGCTCAGATATCATCTTTAAGAGACTGGAGAGGCCCAAATCTAATCTGTAGAAAAAGGAGAGGCTCGAATATCATCAGGGAGAGGCTCAAATCTCA